AGAGCAATGGGGATCATATCGAGTCCGAAAAGAGCAAGTCGTCGCGATCACAAAAGCGCCATCAGGCAGAACCAGAATCATCAGCACCAGCTCGTACAATGAAGAAGGCTTCCAAGAATGTCGAAGAAGCATCCGAGAAGCCATCGAAGCCATCGAAGTCGAAGAAGCATGTTAGAATATCAAATGTATCACAAACCAATGAACCGGAGGCCGGAAAGCCAAAATCCAAGAAAGCTGGACCTCCAGATAGTTCCGAGCTCACAAGAAAGCGGAAGGATCCGAATACTGATGAACAGCAACCACAACAACTAACTAAACGTCGCCGTGTGGAAGATTCACAAGATAATCGGGCCGAGCAAGAACAGCCAGAGCCGCCTTCGTATCAACATCTAGCAGCTGTTACTCGGCGTGTGACACACGAAACTATCAAGATGAAATGGGAACCTCTACCACCGGGATGCTTGGATAAGATTTCTGATTTATTGATCGATGTACAAAGACCAGTTGTCTTACAGATTCGCGATGAACGTAAGAAGACTCAAGCCAGTACAGCGATACAAATGATAAGCCGCCGACTTTTGAATAGAGTTCGAAAGGGTATGCCATTTCCTAAGGGGATAAGAACAAATCCAGAGGATGATTTTGATTTTGAGAGGATACTGGATTACAATCGAGCTTTAGAGAATAAACTCACACCGGTTTTGCATTCAAATGACCTTTTGGAGGCCGAATTGAGGAAAGAGGAGATATTGCTTGAGAGTGAGGAGAGATATCTCGCGGAACTGGAGGCAAATGCAAAGGATGAAGCGACAAGTAGAAGACAAGCCGCTCGAAAAGCTCATCCACTGCTTCAATTCGAGGTTGATAGCACTCAAAAGGTACTCAATGATAATATCGGTATAGATGAGAACGCAGCTACTTCCTCAATAACTCTCAACGTAAGTTTCTATTTTTTCTGAACCTCATATACAACTAATATCTTCTCCAGGCGTCGAAATATCAAGATCTTGAAGGCATTGTTAAGAGTATAGATGGTCACGTGGACAGTGTTAAGGGCAATTTACAACAGATTGAAGGTATCACCGATGCTATGGCTAAAAGTAAAGCCTCTGTACAAGCTGCTCTATTCAGTCATCTCGATCTCGATCAGTACAATGACGTTGTTTTGGGTTAAAGACATCAAAACGGTTATTGGTGCAAGACACAACGGTTTCGGTGGAAGGAAAGTGGGATTACATATTTAAGTTTGGGAGGAACATTCCACAGGAATATTTTTGTGTTGTGTGGCTATTGATTTCATAGTTATTGTATTAGATACCCAAACTTTGCTCCTTCATCGTTGATATGTATGTAGTTAAAATGATCTACAATTCATTTGTTCTTTGTACCAAAGTATCTTTTAGACCTAGACCCACCCTTGATCAACCTCGCTTCACGATGAAATTTGCAGTATGCCGTCGCCCCGCGTTCTACACGACAATTCAATAATCCCATTAACCCAAATCTTGCAACACAAATTAACCCAACAATTTAAATAAGTAATTTATTACTATAATAATCAATTAATACAAGGTAAATTCTCATTCTTGTGTGATGGGTAGTGAATTGAGCTGACAAGCTGAAAGGATCCTTCTAATTCATAAATTTACCAACTGTCAAAAGCTTCGTTCACCCCTTCAATAACGACCAGCGCAACGTCGCAATCCAATGGAACCCTATGAAACTTAGGCTCTGATGCCATGGAACAAAATGGAGCCAACAATGGGCAGGATGCAAAGCCACCGGCATCATCTGCAGCTGCTGGCGCAAACAAGAGCCCGAAGAAGAGGCGTAAAGTAAATCATGGTATGCAGAAGTTTCCCAAGGGAACCAACGACTTCCAAATTTGAATTACATGATCTGAAACATTGGCTAATTGTGGAACGTCTTTTGCAGCTTGTATATACTGTCGGCGATCTGTGAGTATTCGATTGGGCTATACTACAAGGGGGGGGTTGGACGGGTGTTTGCATACCGTTATGCGTGACATTGAAATGCCAGTGGCCAACAGCTAATTCGGTATTGTCCCTGAGCAGCACATGACATGCGATTTAGTGCGACCTTGCGCGAGGTGTACAAAGCGTGGAATTGGGCATCTTTGTCATGATGAGCCCCGCGAACCGGAGTCGACCACGAAGAAAGCAGCGGCGAAGAGTCAGCAGCATCACCATAACAACAACGCTACAGCAGGAACAGCGGAGGAGCTGGGAGGGACACCGCCAGGTCTTAAGCTCGAAAATTCTCTTGACAATAGTCTAAATAACTCGTTCGTCACAGCGGAACAACAACAAGGTCAAGATCAAGTTCAGGAAAACAAATTGAGTCTTGGAGCACCAGCAATATCCCGCGGTGTCCCTCTTCAGCTGGTCCAGCCTACACCGGTTTCTGGAATACAAGCGAATGCTCTCAATAGTAGCAGCAACAATCAATGTATGATGCTTTATATTCTCCTAGATTTTCTTCTTATGTCTCCGAGATTACTCTGAAATATTGGGCACGTATTAATCCTTTTTCGTTATAGTTCTTGGGTATCCCAATGACTGGCTTGGGTCACAAAACCAATTTCAAGATATGCATAACTACCATCCATCGTACATGTTCAACGCACCGGAAGTCACCAACGAGTACAATCTTCTGAACGATTTCCTCAATAACAGTCTTCTAGACGACGGAGCTCTAGGTACAGAAGACACATCAAATTTTTATCCTGATCAAGCTGGTTCAATGTTATCAGGAGGCAATTCCAACACGCTCACATCAGGAGCGCAACAAGCTTCAGGTAGTGGTCCATCAACAGGACTGAATCCACCAGGAAATTCGATTTCCAGACCAGCAAGCGTCATACCAATTGATAAAGCCCGCGAGTACTACCTTCAAGCGGCCGATCCCACTGGTAATGATGTCCCCGAAGTTAGAATGCAACTATTGTTAAGGGCAAAGTACGACGCCGGAATGCTGAAGCCTTTCAATTATGTTAAGGGGTATGCGAGGCTTTCGGCGTATATGGATGGACATATGCAACCGGCTTCAAAGCAAAAAATACTCCGGCAATTGGATCGTTTCCGACCGAAATTTAGGGAAAAGGTGCAAGCATTGACAGATATTGAACTCATCTACGTGGAAATGTGGTTTGAAAGGAGTTTGATGGAATATGATCGAGTTTTTGCAAGTATGGCCATTCCAGCTTGTTGTTGGAGGAGAACCGGAGAGATTTTCAGGGGAAATAAGGAAATGGCTGAGTTAATACATGTTCCTATTGAGAAATTACGGGATGTAAGTTACTTTGAAGATCTTCATTCTCGTTCACACTCGCACTCAAACGTTCTTGGCAAAGACAGATATGGAAGATGCTGCAACTGTGGCTGATACTATCTTCCGAATCCTATCTATTGTTCAAACGGCTGACATTTTTCTGTGAATAGGGAAAAATAGCGCTCCACGAAATCCTGACGGAGGAATCGCTAGTTAATTATTGGGAGAAATTCGGAGCTATAGCTTTTGATTTGAATCAGAAAGCACTTTTGACGAGTTGTTCGTTGAAGAATCCGGATGATAAGAGCAAAGACCCGACGATTAAATGTTGTTTTTCGTTTAATGTGAGAAGGGATGATCATAAGATGTGAGTTTGTTCCTTTTTCTTCTTTAGGGGCCCCTTGATTTGGAGGGCTGAGGGGATTGAAGACGGGATTGTCAGCAAAAATGAAACGTGGTTGAGATGGACAGCATTCCCAAGATCAAAACTGACAATAAATCCAAATAGCCCATCTCTAATTGTTGGAAACTTCTTACCTCAAGATCCTGTCAGGCGGTGATATATCTAAGTTATGGTATGGCAACATGAATGAAAGACGGAGAGTAAAGAAGTAGAAATGAAGAAATTCCAATCCTTTTTGGTATTTATTAGATGAGCAGTACGTACATAAGATGCATAACGTAGAGATTGGAATTGGAAATGCTATTTTGGAGAACGGGATTGGATTGGAACTGGAGATTCTTTTTCTGGGAAATGGGAAGGAAGTGAAGGGAAAGGGGGGTGGGGATAGCAACGTAGAGGTTTTGTGGATTGATGGTTGGATCAAATGGACTTTGATAAGCGGGCGGCGGGGGGAGTTCTGGAGGTGGGAATGTTCGGGTAAATACTAGGTGTGGTCAATTACTACTACCTACCTAGTATGAATGTAAATTCACAGAGCGGAGCAAAGCAAAGCATGAAAAAGCTTCACCTTTTAACATTTTATGAACAACTCCTTTTTTTGAAAACAAATAATGTTTTTATGAGTGTCTCGAAATCGGAAAAGAATGCTGCCAAGTAGCAGTGCGGATGAATGATTGTACTGTTTCTCTCTCTGCTTTTAATGGGGGGAGGTGATTGGGGATATCCTTCTGCTCTATCTAACTCTTTAGGTCTCTAAATAAATAAGGTGCTGTGTAGACCTCTCCATCTGAGATTCCTCGAATAATATTCAAGATATTTGAGACATTAAGAGAAGCAAAGAGAAGACGAAAAACGAATAATCAGGGATTAAGAAGGCTGTACGAGAAGGGAGTACGAGAAGATATGATGGGTATGGCGGGAGATAAGAGGGCTGGGGCTGGGGCTGGTGTTGCACGGCAGGAGGGGGGTTCTGGGGAGAAAGGGAAAGGGGTGGGGAAGGGGGGTAGTGAGGTGGATGGAATGGGGATTGAGAAAGTGAGGGTGAAGGATAAGAGGTTGAGGGGCTGTTTGGTGAGTTTTTTGTGCTTTTTTTTTATTCATTTCCTGTTTTTCTTTTTTTGTGGATGGGGTGGAACTTGAAGAGCTGGAGAGTTGAAAGGCTGAGGGGTGAGTATGAGGGTATGAAGATGTTGAAATGACCATCTTTTTCGAGAGCAGCAAGCTATGGGGCTTGGGGGCTTGCCCACATAGATAGGATTGATTTCTCTGATTTTGTTGAGACGACGCTGCAGAGGCTTCAGGATCGATGGGTGAAGGAGATGGTGGTAGAGATTATGCTGTTCAATTGGTAGTAATGCAGATGACACTCCACTGGCCCTCCGGGGGCCACTGCCGTGGGGACGGTCTACTTTGAAAAGACAATCCCTTGCTTTTTTTTAATCTCAATTCTAACAAAGTCTACTTCAACTCACAGTATTCGCACAAAAACTCGAAAACGATCTCAATTCCTTAGATACAAGCCTCAGTCGGGATGAATTCAACTTCACATTTACAACCATTGATGGAAATGGCACATTTAAGGAATTGGAGAATAATATTACTACATTTCCGACGAAGTTAAGTGCGAGTGCGAAGGATAAAGCACAGGAATTGGATGAGAAAGCAACGTGCATTTGGAATGTTGCGACGAGGTTGAAGAGGAGTCTCCCTGCGGAGAACGATGACGATGAGGATGGAGGATCGAAGACTTGGGATAAAAGGAATGAGCTCAGAGCTGTCCTGATTATGGTTAGAATGTTCGCTTTCCTGGTGTTGGATTGTGCGAATGAGTGTGGGAATTCTGTCGCTCATATACAAGCGGATACTGGTGGAGATGAAGAAAAAGAGAAAGGGGAGAAGTCCAGGGGAAACTTGTTGAGATTGATGAGAGTGGGAATCAAGACCGGGAAAGACTGCTTGGGTATGTATACCCGCCTTCATTTATCTACGGGGAAAAGAGCCGGACTCTGTGAGTTATCGCTAATACTTAGATGCGGAATAGATGGACAAAAGATCGATTATGCCGTCAAAGTCTTGGAGAAGCTTGCAGGATACACAGGATACAGTGAAGAACTTTTACGTACATACGAATCATCTGGTGCATCAGAAGAAAGGGCTGCCTGCGCAAGATTTACTGCTGAGTATTTTGTTGTTAGAACTTTATTGGTAAGACCATAAGACTTCTGCATATTATCTGCTAACACAATCGAAAGGCATGGCGACAGGATGATATGCAACTCGCTGAACATATGTTCAATAAATCTATGTCTTCCAAGGAGCTCTTTGATCATGCTACCACCGAAAGTCTCTCGGACACTTATATGAGATGGGAAAGGCACTACTTGAGAAGCAACAGCATGCTTTGTCTGTCAAATGGCTGGAGCGTGCTTATAAAGTTCTGAGTGGTGATGAGTTGGACAAATTGAGCGCTGATGCTACAGAACTACGAGTATCCATTGTCCAAACACTCACCAAGGCACTCTTAGAGACTAAAACACCTGAATCGATACAACGGGCACGAGAGTTGATTGACCTTCTCGAGTGCGAACTTGGCGATAAATTGGTAGTTCTACTTTTGAAACTGGAACTTCTGACGGGGATTCCAAAAGAAACTTTTGATGGTTTGCCATATAGTGCTATTCTCAATAAGATGATTCGAACTCTTGTTTTAAATCCGACGAATTTGCGATTGTTCATGTTTCATGTTAGGAAACTTCATGAAAAGGCGCCGAGTTTGGCATGTGGAGTTCTAGATGAGATGATTAGATTACGAGTCAAAGAGTTGGTGACTATGACAGAATGGTTAGAGAAAGCTCTTCTTACGAGGATCTGGATGTGTGTTAGTGGGAGAGAAACTGGAGAATTGTTTGTTGCTATTGATGGGTTTCTTACCATGATTGCGGGGAACAACGTGAATTCGATCGGTGTCGAGGCTACCATGGCTGCTCATACGGTTTGTGACCTTGTGGTCATTGAACAGACAAGGGACTAATTTGATATAGTTAATCTGGAAGAAGATAGAAGCAAACTATGGTCTAAAGCAGTATGAAGTAACTGAGAAATGGTGTCGTCTTGCAATTCATGGACTTTTTAAGATACCTGGAGAGGCCAATATGGCTAAGATATCTCGGTTTGTTTCCGTTGTCTGATGAGTGGTCGTGTCTAATATGCGAACAGGAAACTGCTTCTGTGTGCCCTTAATCGAGGAGATATCAATTCTGCTCGTGATACCTTTACATCTATGTCCGATTGCGCAAAAGAAGAGCCATTAACACGATTTCTCATGTACAAAATAGCAATCAGAAGTGAGGAGGTCGAATTGGCAGCAGAATGCCTTGAAAAGGTGGCTTCATGCACCGAAGACCCCTCCCTGCTTTTCGCTTGTGTTCTTGATGCACAACAAGTTGGCAACAAGAAACATGTTTTAGATGCTCTTTGGATGGTACTAGACAAATGTGGATATTGTGTGCAAGAGAATGTGCGTCTTCCGTCGATTATCAGGATGATTATTGTTCTACTTATTGGTATGATTGACGCCGAGAACACACCAAGTGGTTACGCCAGAGAGAACATTGAGAAACTGTGTAAAATGTTCGAAAAAGGTAAGACATTCACGCAATACCCTTTCAAGAGCAAATAATAATCATTACATCACAGCACTCAGCGCCGTTCAAAAATCCCTCAATCGAGAAATATGGACAATCCTCGAACTCGAATGGCTTTCCCGAAATTCCTACAACCTATCCCTCAAACATCTTTCCGTTTGGGAACCCCAACAATCTCTTAGAATGCTCGCCTGCTGTATCGGTTTTATTGATTGCTACCCACGAGATATCGGTGAAGACGCACGTGAGGACGTTACACTCCGAAAAATGTTCTGCAATTTCTGCGCCGCAACGATTTTCGTTTCCATCGCAAGAGCAGAACAGAATGTTGAACCACAATTACAGTTCTATCTTAATTTAAGGAAACATGTAGCGAGTTTTGATCATATATTACAGGAAAAGCTGGAGAAGTTGGAAGTGGAAATTACCGAGGATTTGTTGAAGAAACTGTCTGTTCTACTGGCGTTTGATTTTGAGGCCGCATGTAGATTGAAAGATTGGGGTGGACTTGGAGAGGTTATCACTAAAGCAGGAATTTGCAAGAGTATGAGGGCCTATGAGTTGATGGCGGATTGTATTTTGAGTTGTGAGGCTCCGACTCAAGGTTTGTTCTTCTCGCTTCTTCTTTTTGTCCCCTTTCTCCCCCGTCTCCCTTGCCGCCTTTTCTTTAACTGCCTGCGACGTTTCTCTAAGAAAAACTTTTATACTAACACGTCTTTCTTTCTAACCATAGTCTTAATCATGACTCTCAAAAAAATCACAAACAAGACGTGGGAAATGGAAGAATTTGATACCATAAAATTGTCAAAATACATGCGTTGTCTATTTCAGGCAGCTATGGGATCGGACGATAAGATTGCAGAGGAACTTATTGATCAGGTTTGTATACTTGCTGCTGATGCTGCCGAGGTACGTCTTTGAATTACTCCCGCTTCCCTTCTTCTCCTTCTACGTTCTGTTTCCTTTTCTCCTTTCCGTTCCCCTATGGTCATCTAACCCTCTCCTGTCTCTCGAACCTCCCGCCTTGGAACAAGAAACCCAAGTTAACCTCCACCCCAAAACTCAGACACAAATTCCCTACCCAACTCAAGAACTCGATTGGTTAGCAACCAAATCCTTCAACCATGCCATCGATCTCTTCAGCGCAGACAAAGATGAAGCGTGTAAACGATGGGCTGAAAAATCAATACTGATTGCGGGATATTGCGATGATGCGGGAAGTTTGAAGAGGCTTTTGGTGCAGAGATTTGGGGGTTTGAAATTCGATTGTTAGGGTTTGGGTGGATGATGCGATGGAGATAGGGTGGTTGTAGGATGTGTTCGGTTGGCTCTACGTAAGGTGCTGGAAGATCGAGTATTGCACGGATGAAAGATATATCTTATGTTTTGCTAGGCTTTTCGCTGTGAATTGATCACCTGCAGATTATCTGCATACAAAGCAGATTATTGGGATTTTCAAATAAGTAAACTACAAACTGTTTGCAGATATACTGCTCACCTGTAGGTAAACAAATAGTCTGTAGATTTTCTGCAAATTCTTTATAAATAATTTGCGAATAAATAAACAACCCGAAAAAATATCTACTTTTTACTTCAAATTTTGAAGCTATTCCCAGATTATAAGTGATTCAAGCTTTGATGTTATAAAATGATGTTAGGTTCATATTTATACTAATCATAAAATTATATATTTACATAATACTAATGCGTGCAGATTATCCACAGATTATCTTAAAGGCCTTACAGATAGTCCGCAGTGTAGGTAGGACTTTCTGGATCACCTGTAGAGCAGACTACCTGCAGATAATCCACAGGTGCGGATTACTTCTGCGCAGCCTACATATATACATACACAGAGAAAGATGCATACCTTACGAGCTCGAATTAAATTCATGGAACTTTTTCTTGTAATTAGTAATTAATTTCCAAACACGTAAGATCTTACATACATAACTCAAAATCACTGCAAGTGGGCATTTCTTCTCTTTTCAAAAACTTCTTTGGATTTATCTCTGGGAGGAAGCTACAATTATTCGAACAGATGTATAGGGTATATGAGTCATATAATTGGACGACTGTTCACTAGAATGAGAGGAAGAGAAGTAGGATAAGATGAGATAAGAAGTGACCAGCACATATAATAATTCTAGGTAGCTTCTTATCCGAACCCTAAGAGAAATAAATAAAGGAGCGTCAAGATAGTTAACTTCCCAGCAGTCAACTCAGAATTCAATCTACAACAGCTTTTAAGTGCCAAGATAAGCTCTACTCATCACTGTCCCAGTCATTCACAATACCCCTTTTACAACCCGCGGAAACCCTTGATAGGGAATCTGAAGTTGACATGATGACTTTCCGCACCACTAAGCACCACAACCTTACTTTCCTTCGCCTTTTCGCTCGCTTCTAAACTTTCCCATCCTATGGCGGCTACAAATACTTTCCCCTTTCCGTCAACATCGTCTTTGGAAAGACCAGATGCGACTCCGGTGCAGCCGTCTAGATCCTTGAACTTGGTGACTTGAGCGCGGAGATCGTCTTCGGAAGCGGCGCCTTGTTCGATGGTGAGCATTTGGACGAAGTGGGCGTCGATTACTTCTTTGGGAGCGTAGGGTTTGAATTCGATGATGATGAGGTTTGGGGGGGCGGTGAGGTTTGGTTTTACTTGGGCTAGCATTTCTTGGAAAGCGGGGGTTGCTGTTGTGGAGAGTTAGATGGATGTTCGTGTTTGAAAAAGGTAATAAGGGTAGAACAATGGGGTGGAAATGTACTTTGAAATTTAGTGAAGGCTTCAGGAGATTCCCAACCAATGAGAAGTTCGAGTTTTTGTTGATCTTCGCTGTGGGGTCCCCAGCTTTGTTCTAGTTAGAGATGTATTATGAATGAATGATGGCGAAAGGAGCATACCGAGTGCGAAGATAACCATCCTGAGTCTTCAATGTTTGAAGCATGAATTTGAGACCCTCCTTCCATTCTTCAACTCCTCCGCTAACAGATAAGATAACTCGTTCAGTGATAGTCATTTTGAGATTTGTTGTTGTATGTGCTGGTGATTATGGGTTGAGAAGTCTTTTAAATTTGTAAATTGTTGAGATTGTGCCGGACAATTGTTTTGAGAGATGAGCTGAATGTGATGATGTGATGTTGTGATGTTGTAAATCTGGTGGTTATTCATCGTCCTTATATACATTATCTGCTGTCAACATACATGGATGCAAATTTTGAGCAAGATCCATGAATCCATGGCAGATATCCAACAAAAGGAGGCGTTCGCAACTCATTGTTACAACTAATTAATTCACAACAGTTGAAGCATTAGTAAAGTGCATTCCTCATCCGAAAGTACCGTATAGGAAAAGGGGGTTTCAGAACCGATATACAACTACTTGAATTAGTGCATCTACTATATAATCATTTAAATTTTTAAATCCGTTTCTAATCAGATTCAAATTAAAACTGTAGTTTTCAATATTCTGAAGTGAATTAGTATAGTTAAAACTAATAAATGATTGAAAACAACAAATAATTGAATAAATTGAAACCGATACAAGGATTATCCAATATATCTTAGATTTAAGACTTAAATCTAGGCATATCCTTATATAATCCCCTTTACCTCTATTAATCTAATTGATATTGGACAAATACACTAACAAATACCCCAATAAATATATAAAATTTATACACAAAGAACTCGCTATTGCTATAGAACTTCAAATTCAATACATTTTGAAATCTGAATTCAACATAATTCGAATTAGCTAAAGTTTAGTCTGACAACATCGAGTATAGTTCTACAAAGGGGGTAGGATAGAAAGTATATATATGATTGATTGAACTCCTAGTATTAGAGTTCTGAATAGCTTCCATTATTTCAACTTTCAAGATTATTAGCAATACATTCATTCTACAACCTTTCTACAACCATTGAGAGCTCTACAACCGTCTAATTTATATTCGGTTTGAACATGTATTCGAAAGAATTATAGCCTAAATTAAAATCAGAAGAGGTGAATATGACAATTGCCATACGATCAATATCCGATATAGAACCGACCTAAATTGCCCTAATTCCCTATAAGATACTCACAACACATCCGGCACGTGATTATGATCTTGCGAGCTGTATGCGGGAGTTTTTCTTTACTCTTTCTATTGGCCAGCTCATATGGTAGAAATTTGAATGGCGCCTCTAGATCAGCTATTGTAAGGAATCTTGAGTTCGGAAAGGCCGTTTCATGAGATGCACGCTCGGGGTTCGGATACCATCGCTACTCGAAACAAAGATGTTTGCACTGATCGCGAGTGGGGCATTGCGATGCGATGTGACAGGTGGCAGATGTCAACACTTTCAAAGTGTTACTTCAGACGATCTTATTGCTCTGAGTTCGCATTCTTTAAGCAAAACAGATTTGTGCGCACGGTATACGCGTCTGTAATGCGGTTCGCATCGCGCATGGATTATGCATGAAAGTGGCTAACTTCGAGTCCGAAAGCTGAGCGGCTGAAGCGTTTGAAATCATATTCCAGACATCCAGAACACCATCGAAGTATCAAACACTCCGCTAGGGTTGCACTTGCATGTTTCTAGTATCACCAAAAAATCATACACCTCAATCATGACAACTTGACAAGGATGACAGCTATGTGAATATCAAAAGCTAACAGATAAGCAAGCGATCAAGGAAGGTGTTCATATAAGGAAGCAAAAGAATTTGTGGTAGTCCGTAAGCTTATTAAGATGGGAAAACACCGTTGAGATCATATAAGAAAGGATCTCAAATTAAATCTTCCCTTGAAAATGCATTCAATTACAATACGAAAGAACTACCCAGTATTGCAATGATGGGGATTGGGTTGCCAATATCGAGGATGTTATTTGAAGTATCTTACAATACTCGTCGATAGCAACTTGACTGCTGAAAATGTGGTTGATAGTCACTGATTGTTGAAGAGAAAGGTGCATTTGGTGGTTGGTTTTTCCTAGCACCTGCATTCGAACGAGATGGATATCACGAATGCCATAGCTGGAATCGTGATTGGAAATGACCTCGTGTGGCAATGGTCCAACATACAAGAAAGCGATACCTTTAATATATAAGAATTCAACAAGCATAGATGTTGAATGATAGGTGAATGCAGTGTTGATGTTGCTGTCGTCGATGAAGTAAGGAAAAGGTACTGGACCAATTGCATACGAGATTATGTAATAATACATGACTAAGCACCTATCTCCAGGCGATATCCGAAGTTTGATGTTTGGCTAAGTTTCAACCTCCAAATGTTCAACCCCACTATCCACCAAAAGCTACTAAAGCATCCTCGCATATCAAGTTTGAGTTACCCAACGAATGAAGGTAATGAGATGGTAAGCATCATTCGGGTGTTTCACTTACCTGCCAATTTGGGGGTACAAGTTCTGATCCTGACATATTTATTGGGAACACCTTAGACAATGAATACTTGTACATACCTAGGTATAGGTGTACCTGCTTGAGAGATATTGCCACTTCATATCAATTCAACCCCGCCTTTACGCACTCGCTGAATCTTCCAAAAGATTGGTCTAGAGTGTTAGTCTGATATCCCATCGGAGACCTCCATCGGCCTAAGTTACAAGATAAGAAGCAGGCCCAATATATCATTATTTCCTTCTTAATGAAAGATACATCCTCTCTTTCTAATATTCTGTTCTTTTCTTTTGGTTTTCTGCTTCCAATCGTCTCACTTATTTAAAAGAACTAACTTTCAAGAAGCACTGAAAGATCCTTGTGGCAAGAAACATATCGTGAAAGGGGCGTTGGCGACCTAAATTTGTCGATAATTAACCTTCGAGAGGTATCACTCTCATAACTCACAATGGCACCTATTGCTGTTTCCCCGAATTCCTCACCGGAACCTGCAGTTTCTCTTGCCTCCAGACACTCCCTCTCTTCCGTAACAACCTCTTACGATGATACCCTCCGTTTCTATCTCAATGGCACACGAGTTGTCCTCGATAATATGGATCCAGAGATCACTCTTCTTGAATATCTCCGTGGAATCGGCCTCACAGGCACAAAGCTAGGATGTGCAGAAGGAGGGTGTGGAGCTTGCACGGTTGTTGTTTCTCAATACAATCCAACCACTAAGAAAATATATCATGCAAGCGTGAACGCATGCTTAGCGCCACTGGTCAGTGTTGACGGAAAGCATGTTATAACAATAGAAGGAATTGGAAATACAAAGAGGCCGCATGCTACGCAAGAGAGAATTGCGAAAGGAAATGGTAGT